GATTAAAGGTGTGCGCCACCAACGCCTGGCTAATAAGTAAATTTTTTAAAAGTGAAAACAAAACAAAAAACCAAACAACCAAAACCCAAAGGAGCAATTCACACAGCTCTTTTGTGATATTGTGATGCAACTGGTATACACCAGCTGCACACTGTGAGTATAAACTTGATTGGGTGGCACATTTGTATATATGAAGTCATATCACCACAGCTCCACATTCAGATTCCACTAGCTGTCACCTAATTTCAAAGTTCCAAGAGAAGTCTTCCTTATGGCTTCTGAATTTTGTGTTTTTCTCTGAAGTCTTTATTCTATTCAAGATTATAAACTGCCTTCATGCTTACTTCCAGGGCTTTTTAAAAAAAAAAAGTACATTGGTGTTTTGGCTGCATGTAAGGGTGTCAAGTCCTCTGGAAGTAGAGTTATAGACGACAGTGAGCTGTCATGTGGTGCTGGGAATTGAACCTGGGTCCTCTGGAAGAGCAGTCAATGCTCTTAATTTAGCGATTCCCATCGCAGCAGTCGTTTCAAGGAATCACATCTTGGCTAGAGTGGGTGGAGTAGGGTTACTTACATTAAGCTTTTCAGGAAGGCGTTTGTCGCACTGCCCTCTACTGACGGATCTGTTCCTTACACTTACCTTGAATATAGGATCTTCCTAGCCAGCACATTTACTCCACTGAAGGGGATAACAGGACAATTTCTCGAGGAAAAGAAATTGATACAGAGTCTCACTGTATATCACTGGTTTTCCTGGAACTCACTATGTAGACCAAGTTGGCTTCGAACTCACAAAGCTCTACCCTCCTTGACACCCGCCCCCAAGTGCTGGGATTAAAGGCATGTAACACCAAGTCCCACAAAATGTATAGCACAGGCTGGCATCAAACTACTGATCTTCCTGCCTCTGTTTCTTCAGAATATCCTAAGAGTGTGTGTCACCACAACTCGCTCTCTTTGAGATCTGTATGCCTGAATGAGATGAGCTGTCCTTTCCCTTATAAGTTATTAAGTTGATTTAGCTTTTAAGTACTACTAATTTCTCCCAGTGGTTTCTTCTTCTTCTTCTTCTTCTTCTTCTTCTTCTTCTTCTTCTTCTTCTTCTTCTTCTTCTTCTTCTTCTTCTTCCTTTTTTTTTTTTTTTTTGAGACAGGGTTTCTCTGTGTAGCCCTGGCTCTCCTGGAACTTGCTATGTAGACCAGACTGGTCTCAAACTCAGGAATTCCAAGTGTTGGGATTAAAAGGCCTGTATCACCATATCCAGCTTCTCTCTCTTTCTCCCTTTCTCTCTCTCTCTCTCTCTCTCTCTCTCTCATTTGTGGGATGGAGAGATAACTCAGTGTTTAGAGTAGGTTGCTGTTCTAGAGGAACAGGGCTTGATACTCAGCACCCACATGTCAGCTCACATCTGTGTGTAACTCCAGTTCTAAGGAACCTGACATCCTCTTCTGGCCTCTAGGGCATCAGGCACACATGTGATGCACAGACATACAAACAGTGAGAACATTCACACCCATTATTAGCCAGATGGGGGTGGTGCACGCCTTTAATCCCAGCACTCAGGAGGCAGAGGCGGCCTATCTCTGGGTTTCATTCAGACCAGCCTGGTCTACAGAGTGAATTCCAGTACAGCCAGGGCTACACAGAGAAACCCAATCTCAAAAACAAAAAACAAACAATTATTACCATGTGTAGGCATGTGTGTGCACATTGGCACATGTGTGACCACAGAATACCGTCATGGAGTTGGTTCTCTTCTTTCGCCTTTACGTGGATTCTGGAAATCAAACTCAAGCTGATTAGGCTTATGTGGCAAGTGTCTTTATCCAATGAACCAACTCACTGGCACATCGCTTTATTTTTTGAGACCGTGGCTCACACTGTAGACCAGGCCAGCCTGGAACTCACTGTGGAGCTCAGGCTGGCCTAGAACTCTTGGTTGGCCTTCCCGTCTCAGACTCCTAAGTTCTGTGTGATTACAGAAGAGAAAGCACCAACAATCAGCTCCCACACTTTCCTTTCCTTTCTCTTTCCCTTCCTTACTTTCCCAGTCATTAAATTTCTAGTAACCATGTCGTTGATAGATTGAAAGTGATTTCATTATTCTTCTGCGGACACTTCTTCCTGCTGGGCCTTTTACAAAGAGGATGTGGTGACATTCTGGTTAATCCCCCATTTCTGGCATTACGCCCTCTCTTCCTTGCTCCCTACTTTTTACCCTTTGCCCTAGTCCATGCAACACTTCGTTAGAAAAGGCATAAGAAATCACATTTTCTGAGTCCTTCGCATCTCGTTCTTTCTTTGAATCTCTCAGTTCAGGGATGGAGAGATGGCTCAGCAGTTAAGAGCATTTACCGCTCTTCCAGAGGTCCAAGGCACCCAAGTCAGGCAGTTCACGGTCACTTGTAACTCCAGCTCCAGGAGACTTGCTTTGTTTTGTTTTGTTTTATAGACAGGGTTTCTCTGTGGCTTTGGAGGCTGTCCTGGAACTAACTCTTGTAGACCAGGCTGGTCTCGAACTCACAGAGACCTGCCTGCCTCTGCCTCCCCAGTGCTGGGATTAAAGGCATGCGCCACCAACGCCCGGCATTCCAGGAAATTTTACACCAGCACACAAGTGCCGTACACTACACAGACAGACACATATACACAAATAAAAATAAAGTTAACCTTAAAAATAAGCTTCCAGTCATAGGCTGGTGATAGGATTCTAAATTAAAAATAGTGTTTCCTGCTTTGGTACACAGTCAGCTGTTATGTAACCCCAAAATAAAGGGTACTTCCGCTTGACCTGGACTCTGGCAACCTTGACGATGCACTGAAGGGAAAAAACATTTAGTAATTAGTTCTTGACTTTCAACACTTTAGTATTTTTGTTTTCAATAAGAGTCCTGGTTGACAGCAGCCTTGTTATGGAACAGACACTGGAAGCATTTTAAAATTCAGCTTCAGAAGGATTCAGGATGCTAATTAGCCGTTTTATACTAATGTCCTTGAAAGGGAAATGCTGTGTATTCTGCACATGACACTTTCTGATTTAAAGTAAGTTCACTTCCTCCAACTACCTACTGAATAGGGATAATTCTATGTCATGAGGAAGCACATATTCTTTTGTTTTGTTTGTAGCTCTGGCTGGCCTTGAACTCACAGAGATCACTGCCTCCTGAGTGCTGGTGAAAGGTTCAGGCATTACTCTGGCCTGCCCTGTTACCTGGCAGGATGCGCTCAGGCAACACTCTGGCCAGCCCAGAGTTCCGTGAGAACCAGGCAGGTGCAAAGGACCCCTTTAAAGGACTGACCCCTGCCCGTTTACGCTCTCTTCCTCTCTTGCTCCTGCTCTCTCTCTTTGGCTCTTACTCTCATCTTACTCTGTCTCTCTCATATCTTATCTCTCTCTCTCTCTTCTCTGCATGGGCTGGTTACCTCTCACCCCCCTTTTCCCTCCCCTTCCACCAATAAACTCCACGTGGGATCGTTGAGTTGCAGTCTGTGTCTCCTTACTGGATAAACCTAAGCATTTTAACAACAGCTGGGATTAAAGGCATGGACTGCCAAACCCAACTGGGACTCAAGTATTTTTCACATTGTAACTTTTCTGTGGGGGGTGATTTGAGACAAGGTTCTCTGTGTAGCTTTGTCGACCAGACTGGCCTGGAACTGGCAGAGATCTATCTACACTAAGCTCTTGTTTCTTAACTTGATTCATAGTTAATGTCCCATTTGAAAAATTGTGTGTGTGTGTGTGTGTGTGTGTGTGTGTGTGAGAGAGAGAGAGAGAGAGAGAGAGAGAGAGAGAGAGAGAGAGAGAGAGAGAGAGAGAGAGACTAGATGACTGGGAAAATGTATGTATACACTCTATTTTAGTTATGGTTTCTATAGCTGGGAGGAAACACTATGACCAAAAAAGCAATTTGGGGAGGAAAGGGTTTATTTGGCTTACACTTCCAGATCATGGTCCATCACTGGAGGAAATCAGAACAGGAACTCAAACAGGGCTGGATCCTGAAGGCAGGAGGAGCTGATGCGGAGGCCAAGGAGGGGACGTGCTTAGTGGCTTGCTTTCCAGGGCTTGCTCAGCCTGCCCAGGGTGACACCATCCACCATTGTCTGTGTCTTACAGTTGCATCTCATGAAGGCATTTCCACAACTCCCTCCTCTCTGATGACTCCAGCTTGTGTCAAGCAGATACACAAAAACAGCCAGTACATACTCAAAATCCAAAACACATTTCTTTTGTTTTGGTAGTGGTGGTGGGGTGGAGACATAGTTTCTTTTGTAGCCCTGGCTGTCCTGGAACTTGCTCCATTAACCAGGCTGGTCTCGAATTCACAGAGATCTGACTGCCTCTGTCTCTCGAGTGTTGGAATTAAAGTTGAACGCCACCACCGCTCAGTTAACGTCTTATTTTTGTTTAGTGGTTGTTTGTGATTGAACCTACAGCCTTTTACATGCTAAGCAACTAGGGTTGGAATCCAGAATGTTATTGTGCACCTAGGCTGGTTCTCTGTTAATACGTTCCCCGCCCTACACAGAAATTTGAGTGCATTATTGGCTCTTTCGTTTATTTTTATCTATGTATTTTTGGTGCTGTATTTTATAATATTTATTTATGTATGTATTCATATAAGTGTATGTGCATGTGCACAGTTCACAGTTCACGTGAAGTTCAAAGGACAACCCATGGAAGCAGGTTCTCACCTTCTGTCATGTGGGTCCTAGGGATGGAACTCAGATCCCTTATGCTTGGCCGTTAAGAGCATCTACCGGCTGAGCAATCTCACTGGACTTGTCCTATTTAGAGATGGCACGAAAGCAGAGGGCAGAACCCCAACGCACCCAGACGGAACAGGAGGGACTTGACACTAGGGGGCACAGCAAACCGAGAGGAGTCATCTCCAGTCGAACGCAGCTCCAGGAGGCGGGAACAATCGTCGCCCCGCCCCCTCCATCTGCGGCGCCCTGTGATTGGAAGGGGAAACAATTACTTAGTAGCGCCGTTGGGGTGGGCGGGAGAAGAGGGCCGGCCAAAGGTGACGCTGTGGTGGCGGAGGTGCCGGGCTCCGCGGCAATTCCGGGCGGTGGATGGCGGCGGGATGGAGCCCGAGGAGAGCGGCGGCGGCGGTGGGTCGGCCGGGCTCATGCAGCAGATCCTCAGCCTGAAGCTCGTGCCGCGGGTGGGCAATGGGACCCTGTGCCCCAACTCCACTTCGCTCTGCTCCTTCCCAGGTACGCCCCGCCCCGCGCCTGCGCACTGCGCACCTGTCGCCGGCCCGGCCAGGGCGAGGCCGAGGCAGCCTCGGAGTGGTACCCCGGTGCCTTGGGGCGACGCCTGTCCTGTCTTAGGGAATGCCCCTTGACGCCCTCCGAGACCCTGTCCTCTGACTCTGTCCTACACCCATCTCCTCCCCTCCAGCTTGTCTATGTAGGAATCACTTGCTCAAACCTGTTGCGGGCTCTCCCACCCACACCTTGAACTTAGACACAACTTCTGAATCGCTCTTGCTTCCCACTCGAGCTCCGCCGCCTCCTGTCAGGAGAGCTTTCAAAGTTACGTTTCCACGGTGGAGCTGCCAGAGTTGACAAAGTTGAGGGGAGGAGAATTACCTCCCCTGGGATCAATAATAAGGGGGAGGGCATGATCATTTGTTTTGGATTTTTGGAGGCTAGGCGACTGGGGTGGGGGGTATGACAGAGGGGGAATTAGGGTGCCCCAGCAAAATTGAAACTTGGATTTCGTAAACCGTGAAGCTGGGCCAGAGACATCGTAAAGGAATATGGGAAGGCGGAATTGAATGTTAAGCCAGGCGTCTGTGATTCTCATTCACTGGGCAGCGACTGCCAGGCGCCTCTCGGTGGACACCTGGGACCTCCCTGTGTAGTTGCTGACAAAATGGTTGTCTATTTTTGCGGCAGCTGAAGATGTTAGCTTGTGATCCTGCCTAAAACGAGAGTCGGGATGCTCAGATTGTTTCCTGACAGTGATAAGAAAAAAAAAAAAACTAAACTAAAATTACACATGAACCCCTTTCTGGAGACCCTTTCCAAAAGATGAAGAATTTATAATTTCAGAGGATTAAATCAGTAAAGCAGTCTTGTTTTTTGTTCGTTTTCTTCTCTTCAAATATTTGGGAATTTTCCAAACTTGAGAAATTAGAACACAGTATAACCAATACCCATATGCTTCATGTTCTGTGGTCAAAGACACACACTGCTTAAAAACTGGGGCTCATTAGGTAGTGTGAGACCATCACCCATGTAGTTAGGCAAGCCTAGGTGACAGGCTACTTTAGGTTATGGGGCCACAGTTGAATGTTTGGCCTGTATTGATGGAAATGCCATTATGCAAAGCATGACTATTTTGGGTCTTGCTCTTTCTCTGCCACACCTATGTGCATGTGTATACACATCACATTTTAACTTCCTGTACTGCATCAGTCATGACACTGTATGATTCTTCTGGAGCAGGGATGTGTTCTTTGAGTGCCCCCAAATCACGACACTTCTAAAATACTTACCATTGATAAAGTGATGTTAAACAGGTCTTATTTAAATCTCTCCAGTTAACCAAATAGCTTTCTTCTTTTTGTTTTCCCAGCTTTCTTTTTTCTTTAAAAAATAGTATTTAAAATACATGTGTGTGTTTTGTTATGTGGACATGAGTGCAGGTGCCCCCTGTGACCCCAGAGGTATAGTTAGTTAGTTACAGGTGATTGGTTGTGAGCTATGTGAAACCAGAGATATAGTTAGTTACAGGTGATTGGTTGTGAGCTATGTGAAACCAGAGATATAGTTAGTTACAGGTGATTGGTTGTGAGCTATGTCACGTAAGTGCTGGGAATCAAACCTGGGGTCCTCTGGAAGAACCGCAATCACTCTTAGCCTTTTTTGTTTTTCATCTTGTTTTTGTTTTTATTTGGTGAGAGAAAGAGGCAGTTCATTAAGAAAGAAAAAGGCAGATGGCCTAGTGAACTGAGAAAAGTCAGCCTGGTCTACATAGCATGTTCCAGGCCAGCCAGGGCTGCATAAATAAATAAAAAGAATTACACATTGCATTTGATTGTCCTGACTCTTTAGCGTCATTTACACCAGTGTTTTACTTCAGCTTTTTGTTTTGATCCTAACCTGGAACTTGCTGGGAACTGAACTTGGGTCCTCTGGAAATTCACCAACTGCTTGTTGTTTTGTTTTTTGAGACGGGGTTTCTTTGTGTAGCCCCACACATCCTAGAACTCACTCTGTAGACCAGGCTGGCTTGGAACTCACAGAGATCCTCTTGCGTCTGCTTCCTCAGTGCTGGAATTAAAGGTGTGCACCACCACTGCCTGGCACAGCAGCAACTGCTCTTTACTGCTGAGCCATCCCTCCAGACTCCCTTCTGAAAATGTAATATGCAATATGTGTGTCAATTCACTTCTATCCTTCTATGGATATGAGACTTGAGAGTATGGTTTACCTAGAGTCACTCCTTTATCAGGTGTCCATCTGGTCCGGTGTGGACTCCAGGCTGGAGGCATAAACATGGATGAGGGTAAAGCCCTCGTTGATCCCCATGTGCTAATCTTAAGGGCTAATGTAGTACATACAGCCCTTGACCTCAAGTTGACCAGTGAGCAACAGTAAATACATCCCCTCCCTGCAATGCCTCATCGTTATTTGGAATTCTGGTTATAATGGGCACTTGAAGTTGGGATCCTAGTTTGAGATACTAAAGACCTCTTACTGGGAATCATATTCAGGGTCCTGAGGTTGTTTTCCTCTATTTTGGTCACACAGAAAAGGTTATTTGTAATTTATGCCAACTCATGGCAGATCATTGCCCTAAAATATTCTGTGGTTTCTCTGTACTAAAAAGCTTTGAATTGATTTTTTTTAAACCTGCCTGTACAATTTAGCCATTTAGGATTCTGCCAAATTCTCATTCTAACTTGCTCAAATTTCTTTTGTTGTCTCTTTGTGTTTGTTTGAGACAAGGTCTCATTGTGCAGCTGAGGGTGCCAGAGAACCTGAGCCTTCTTAGTGCTAAGGTGAAGGCCTGCACCACCATGACTGGCTTTTAGTTGTCATTTGTCACAATCAGAAATAACATTCATTTTCTGAAGATATGGATTTCACTAAAGTAATGTCAAATTAAGCAACACTGTTGTTGCAGTCAAGAATGGATCCAACTTGGGCAAGTCAGTTATTCATTCACTGAACAAATATTTACTGATTGTGGTGTACCTGGTTTTTTTTTCTTTAAGATTTATTTATTTTTTATATATTAGTGCTCTATCTGCATGTGTCAGAAGAGGGCTTCAGAACCCACTATAAATAGTTGTGAGCCACCATATGGTTGCTGGGAACTCAGGACCTCTGGAAGAGCAACCCATGCTCTTAACCTCTGAGTCATCTCTCCAGGCCCTGTTTTTTGTTTTACAAGACAGGGTTTCTCTGTATTGTTTTGGAGGCTGTCCTGGAACTTGCTCTGTAGGCCAGCCTGGCCTCAAACTCACAGAGATTTGCATGCCTCTGCCTCCCGAATGCCGGGACTAAAGGTGTGAGCCACCACCGCTCGGCTCTGTTTTTGTATTTTTAAGATTTATTTTTACTTATGTGTATGAGCATATGTATATGGGTGTTCATAGTGGCCAGAAGAGGGCGTTGAATCTCTGGGAACTGTAGTTACAAATAGTTGCCCAATGTGGGTTTTGAAATGTGAACTCTGGTTCTCTGCAAGAGCAGCATTAGCTCATAACTGCTGAGTTATCTCTCCAGCCTTCTGGTTATGTTGTAGTATCTGCTAGAAAGGCCTTGACAGACAAAACAAAGCCACTCTTATGGGTCATTCATTCCGGTGGAGAGACATAGAGAAAAGTAAGGACACCCTATCTGGTGGTGAGTATGAGACAGGAGGTGAGGGACAGAGTAGTAGCTGAAGTGTGTCAAGGGATGGAGTTTTACATATGGTGATCAAGCCTGCTATGGTAGCACGCACCTGTAAGCATGGCAATTGGATGGCTGAGGCAGGATGGTTGTGCATTTGAGGTCAACCATCCTGGGCTCCATCCTGAATTCAAGGCCAGCCTTGGCTATTGTGGTGGTTTGAATAAGAATTGCCCCCCCCCATTGGCTCATATGTTTTAATGCTCAGTACCTAGTTGGTAGAACTGTTTTGGGAAGGAAGTGTTTTGGGAAAGTGTGGCCTTACTGGAAGATGTGTGTCACTGGGGGTGAGCTTTGTGCTTGTGGGTCGGGATGGAAGCTCTTAGCTACTGTTCCATGGCTGTCTGCTTCCTGCCCTGGTGATAATGGACTGACCTTCTGAAATTAAGCAAGCCCCCAATTAAATGTTTTCTTTTGTAAGAGCTGCTTGGTCATAGTGTCTCTTCTTAGCAATAGCATACCTACTAAGTCAAGTAGTATCAGGAGAGGTGTGCCGGGCCACAGTTGGTGGTCCTTGTTAGATAGGAGGGCAAGTCATTGTTAGAGAGGAGGGGAGGCCCCTCATGGATCTCCTGGCAGATAGGAGATAGTTGGCAAGCAAGGAGTGAAGAGTGATGCAGGCTGACGGGCCATGAGCATCCAGGCAGCCTAGTTCCAGCACTGGACAAGACTGTGGTTCCCAGGAGGACAGATGTGGTCTGCTTACAGCCCCAGCTTTACAAAGGTCCGCCCAGGAGCTGTCAGAATTTATTCAGCTGTTTGACCTGGGACTTAAGGTCAGAATAGAACCAAGTGAAAGGATGGTTGCCTGCTTACCTGGCACTCCTGTTCCTGCTCTTCTAGACTGGAGATCTTGGGGCCAAGATGACTCAGGCAGAAAGCTATCCATCCGCAAACCCTTTTGTTAATTCAGTATCATCTGGGGGATGCAGCTCTTCACGAGTCTTTGCTTTTCTATTGCCTGAAAGCTCTGTGTGTGGTGTATGCATATATCTTGCTCAAGATTGAATGAATCCAGGGCTTTGATACCACTAGGACCAGAGCTTGGATCTCCAGTATCAACAAAAATGAGGTGTGGGCATGGTGACCTACTTGTAAACCTGGCATCTGGGAGGTAAAGAAGGGATCCCCAGAATAAGTTGGTTAGCTAGACTATCTGAATTGGTGAGCTTTGCATTTAAGTGAAAGACTGCCTCAATACATAAGGAAGAGAGCAATCAAAGAAGACACCCAATGACAATCTCTGCCTCCACATATGTGCCCATACACATGTGATCTCTCTCTCTCCCTCTCTCTCTCTCTCTCACACACACACACACACACATACACACACACACACATATACACACACACAGGAAAAAATAAAAAGAAGCCCTCACAGATGTGGCCTCTCAGTCTTGGACTTCCCAGCTTACAGAACCTTGAGCCAAAAAAGATTGTGTTACAGCAACAGAAAACCAACAATAGAGCTGCCAAGGAAAACACAGCTGACAATGCACTGCATTTGAAGCAGTGAACAAGGAAATGTTGTAAGACAGGGAAACATTTTTGACCGTGTGATGAGCCAGGGGGATGAAAAGAACTCCACGTCGATCAATAAAATAGCCATTAAACAGTTGGTAAATTGAGGTGCAGTAGATTAAAAAGAAATCACTTAGTTTTTTTAAGGTGTTTTGTAGATCTCAGTTTTTAAAGTGTTGTAATTATCCTGAGAGTATTTTTATAAACTACTCATTTCATGTAATAAAGCCTTTCTTTCCCCACGCAGTGTTTTAATGTAACACTATATGTGGGCACTGAAGTAGCTAACACAGGCGGCTCAGGGTGTGATGGGTGGTGCATCCCTGTGGGCTGCTGTCCCTTAGCCCGGAACGGTGCCAACAGGACCCTGGTAGCCTCCCTAGGAAGGTGCCATGCTCCAAGGGAAGTAGCAATGAGTGAGTGTGTAGGTGTCTCAGTCAGTTTGCTGTAAAGCAATTCCACAGACTAGACATTTAAACAGCTGCTTGTTTCCTTGGTTCTGGGAGCCACAAGTCAGATCTGGGTGCTAACCAGGGTCAGGTAAAGGTGAGGACTTATTTCCTGCCTTTCAGGGAGCTGCCTTGTTACCGTGGGGGAGGGTGTGTGAGTGGGGGAGTTAATCTCTCTCTTATAAGACAGTTAAAGGTGATGAACACCTTTAATCCCAGAACTCAGTAGGCAGAGGCTGTTGGATCTGTGTGAGTTCCAGACCAGCTTGGGCTACACAGTGAGACCCTGTCTCAAAAGACAAATCATAGTGCTCTCAGACTTAGTGTGAATTTGGGGAAAAACACTTCAACCCACACCTAGGCCAGACTCACAGATGAGGGAATTACTAGCATGATGTGTCTCTGGTGAGTCAGGGCACGTTCACCACACATGATCTGGGCAGCCAGTAAGACACGCCTACTGCAGCAGCACAGAGAGGTCCAGCCTCTGGTCAGTGGTATTCTCATCCTTGTGGTGTTGGACATCACTGGGTGGTTACTGCTGTAAATTCCTGGAGGCGAATTCACATTCATTTGTTCACTGTGGGGCAGCAGCCTTCTTAGAGTCCCCAAGGAACTTTCTCCAAGGCCCTGTACTTCAGTGGGTTATAATAGTTTCAAGAGTGATGGGAGTCTAGCAGAAAAAAGTCTCCAAAATGGTTTTTTGTTTGCTTGTTTCATTTTGCTTTGCTTTGTTTTGTGACAGTATCTGTGACCCAGGCTGACCTCGAACTCATAGTGATCCTTCTGCAACAGCTCCCCAAGTGCTGGGGACTATGATGTGAGTCACTCTGGAAGCTTTGACACCCTTTGTAACTGTCTTGATAGTCACCAGACCAAACACTGTCAGTTATTAGTTATCCTCAACAGGCTTTGAGCCCTAGATGGGGCATCTATGAAGTTTTCTGAAGAATCACCCAGGAGTTTGGAGAGATGGCTCAGTTGTTAAGAGCATTGGCTTTTAACCAGGGGACCCAGGTTCAATTCCCAGCACCCACATAGTAGCTCACAACCAGCTGTAACTCCTGTTCCAGGGACTTCTGGCCCCCTTGGGTTCCAGGCATGTCGCACACATGTATACAGGCAAAGTACCCATTCACATACATATTTTTAAAAAATCATCCAGTCCCCAAAGACCTAGGTTCAAGGTGTCAGAGACCACATGTGGTCTGTAGTCTTCTGGATGCACTATTTTGGGGCCTGTGTTGAGGTACCATGGCCTGGTGGAGCAGAGCTGCTTCCCCAGGGCAGCCAAGAAGCAGGACTAGGAAGGAGTCAGGGTACCCCCGGTGACCCACTTCCTCTATCTAGTCCCCAACTCCTTTCTACCATCTCCTGGGATAGCACTATTGGCTAGAGACCAAGCCCTCAGTGTATGAGCCCAAGAGGGACACTTCGTATGTAGACCTGAGCTCCTCATGATGAAATCCATCCACCTGTGTGGCTGTCACTGTCAGTGTTCTTGTAAACATTCTGCTTCAGTCAAGCCAATGGTGTTTGATCAGGGTGGTTTGGTCTCTGGAGACATTTGGCATGTTCTAGAGATATTTTTTATGTCAACCTGGGAACTGAGTACTATTGGCCAGTGTGTGCTAAGTGTGCGTGAAGTTCTGGGTTCCATCTCTAGCATCAGAAAGGGGGGAAAAAGTTAATATCTGAATTAGAGTCATCTTAAGAGTAGAGGTTGGAGCCGGGCATTGGTGGCGCATGCCTTTAATCCCAGCACTCGGGAGGCAGAGGCAGGTGGATCTCTGTGAGTTCGAGGCCAGGCTGGACCGACAGCCTCCAAAACAGAGAAACTCTGTCTCGTAAAACCAAAAAAAAAAAAAAAGAGTAGAGGTTGGAGCTGGGCGTTAGTGGCACACGCTTTTTAATCCCAGCACTCAGGAGGCAGAGGCAGGCGAATCTCTGTGAGTTCAAGACCGCCTGGTCTTCAAGAGCTAGTTCTAAAGCCACAGAGAAACCCTGTCTCAAAAAACCAAAAAAAAAAAAAAAAAAAAAAGAATAGAGGTTGAGGTCTGGACAGATCCCTCAGGGTTAAGAGCATGCGCTGCTGTTGCAGAGAACCCAAGTTTGGTTCCCAGTGCCCATATCAGGAGGTTGACCATCACCTGTGACTCCAGCTCCAGGGGACTCTGAACCCTCTGGCCTCTGTGACTTCATGACACAAGTGCACATATTGACACATAGTTAAAAGTAAATCTTAAAAGAGTAGTGGTTTGCTGGGTGGTGGTGACACAAGCCTTTGATCCCAGCACTTGGGATGCAGAGTAGGCGAATCTCTGTGATTTTGAGAGGCCAGCCTCATCTACAAAGGAAAATTCCAGGACAGCCAGGACTACTACACAGAGGAACCCTGTCTCAAAAAACAAGCAGAGCCGGGAGTTGGTGGTGCACGCCTTTAATCCTAGCACTCGGGAGGTAGAGGCAGATGGATCTCTGTGAATTTGAGGCCAGCCTGGTCTACAGAGGGAGTACCAGGACAGGACACAAAGCCACAGAGAAACCCTGTCTTGGTAAACCAAAAAAAAAAAAAAAAAAAATCTTCAGTAAAGCCTGGCATAATGGCAAATCCCTATAATACCAACTCACCAACTCAAGGGAGGCAGGAGGTTCAGAGTTCAAGGCCAGCTTCAGATACATATGAGTAGGAGGCTATTCTAGGCCACATGATGGAACACTGTGACACAAAAACAAGGGGCCGGAGAGATGACTAGGAAGTTAAGAGCACTTGTTGCTCTTGCAGAGGACCCAGTTTCAACTCCCAGCACTTAAAAATGGTGTCTCACAACCATCTGTAACTCCAGTTCTAGGGGATTCAGTGCCCTCTTGTGACCTCCATGAGCAACAAGCAGGAACATGGTGCACATACATGCATATATATATATATATATATATGCAAAATACTAACACATACAATAAAATAAATAAATCTAGTTTTAAATAAAAATTTCCCTACTTTAAAAAAACAAAACAAATACTGGGCAGGGGTGGTGTACTCAAGAGGCAGAGGCAAGCAATCTCTGTGAGTTCGAAGCCAGCCTGGACTACCACTAGACTACAACTAAACACTGGTGAGAATGGGCCTCGTGGGTGCAGTGGTTGGGCCTGGACCCCTTGGCAGGGCCTCACTGGGGAAGATAGTGACTCCAACTGTGTCTTTCTCTGCCCTCACAGAGATGTGGTATGGTGTGTTCCTGTGGGCACTTGTGTCTTCTGTCTTCTTTCATGTCCCTGCCGGACTCCTGGCCCTCTTCACCCTCAGACATCACAAATATGGTAGGTTCATGTCTGTAGGCATCCTGATGATGGGCATCGTGGGACCAATTTCTGCTGGAGTCTTGACAAGTATGTTAGCATTCAAATACCCGTCCAAAGCTTGGAATGTGATTGGTCACCTCATTTTAAAAATAAGGGAGGGTTGGGGGTGGTTGGGAGTGTAGCTCGGTGGGAGAATGCTTGCCTAGTGAGGACAAAGCCCTGGGCTTGGTCTCTAGCACTGGGAGGGAAAAAGGTGTGTGTTGCATGTGCACACACACACACAATGCATTTTAAAGAATTAGCTTTAAAGTGTGTTTTTTTAAAATGTATTCCTTTTGGGGTTTTGCTTTGTTTTTTAACTCTCAAGCCCCTTACCTGACTAATCTCTTTGGCTTCCACAGGCCACTAGCAAAATAGAAGTGTTTGGCCTCAGAAGCTTCAGCGTCTTTTTGTTCCAATTTGACTTGACTCGGCTTTGCAGAAGCGTTCGATAGTTCCTTCCACTCTTTAGGGTGTGTTTCTTTTTTCCTTTTTCTTTTTTTTAAAGATATGTATACAGTGTTCTGCCTGCATATATGATGCCTGTGGGCCAGAAGAGGGCACCATTACAGGTGGTTGTGAGCCACCATGTGGTTGCTGGGAATTGAACTCAGGACCTCTGGAAGAGCAGCCAGTGCTCTTAATCTCTGAGCCATCTCTCCAGCCCCAAACCTGCTTCTCTTTTTAATCTTTTTTTTTGTTTCATATCACTAACACAATTAGAGGGAACAAAATGATAAGCTTAAATCACATTTTTTTTGTTTTGTTTTTCAAGACAGGGTTTCTCTATGGCTTTGGAGGCTGTCCTGGCTTAAATCACTTTTAAATTAATAATTTCATAGAAGCATATGTATTTTCTAGAAGTAAAAATGTAAGCATCATAAAATTAAAAAATTATATGTATATTAATAGCCACAGATTGTATTTTGGTGTGGACTTAAATATATGCATGTATAATAAAAAAACATAGGAATGTAACATTCCTAATTTGTCACCTTATTTTATTTTCTCTGTGAATTTAAGCCCCTCGCTGAGCAGAAATGTCCATTGGTCTGTTTGACTCTTTTTTTTTTTTTTTTGAGGCATTGTAGCCTAGTTTCTGTGTTCTAACTGTGTCACTTAGTGCTGCAGTATCCACACTGAATTTCTGGCCTCTGGGACTGGTTTCCTATCAGTAAAACAGGGATGACCTGACCACCCCCATCCTTGAATGCTGATTAGATGAGGTGGCTCAGTTTCAGTAGAGTACCTGGCACAGTAGTTGGCACACAGTAACTGAAGATGTGCTCATTTCTGTTTTAAGGATTTGGGGTAGTTTCTTTTCTTCTTCGTATTCTCTGTAGGATTTTCCTTTCTTCCCTCATTGTCTATATGTTTCATGCGAAGGCCCAGATTAGGTTCCTCAGGCTTCTTTTTTTCCTTTTCAAGGAAGCTCAGTTACAGAGGCGCCATGACACTTGCCCTCTGAGACAGTAGTGGTATTGATTGCCACTGGAGGCAAAGTCAAATATCTAACACTGTTTGCTTGTTAAAACACATTAATGTCACAGTTTAAAAATGTGTAGTTTTCCTTTCTTTTTGGGATGCTGAGAATGGAACCCATGGCCTTGCGCATGCTAAGCATGTATTTTATCATTGAACCACATCCCCGCCTGCCTGTAGATACTTGATTCTTGTGTTCTATGAGTTTCTGTGACTCTCAGATGGATAGCTGGGTCCACACAGGTGTTTGTGTACAACGTTAGATGGGGTGTCTGGGTCCACACAGGTGTCTATATAGAGTGTTAGATGGGGTGTCTGGGTCCACACAGGTGTTTATATAGAATGTTAGATGGGGTGTCTGGGTCCACACAGGTGTTTATATAGAGTGTTAGATGGGGTGTCTGGGTCCACACAGGTGTTTATATAGAATGTTAGATGGGGTGTCTGGGTCCACACAGGTGTCTATATAGAGTGTTAGATGGGGTGTCTGGGTCCACACAGGTGTTTATATAGAGTGTTAGATGGGGTGTCTGGGTCCACACAGGTGTTTATATAGAATGTTAGATGGGGTGTCTGGGTCCACACAGGTGTTTGTGTAGAACGTTAGATGGGGTATCTGGGTCCACACAGGTGTTTGTGCAGAGTGTTAGATGGGGTGTCTGGGTCCACACAGGTGTTTGTGCAGAGTGTTAGATGGGGTGTCTGGGTCGATACAGGTGTTTGTGCAGTGTTAGATGGGGGCGGGGTATCTGGGTCGACACAGGTGTTTGTGCAGAGTGTTAGATGGGGTGTCTGGGTCCACACAGGTGTTTGTGCAGAGTGTTAGATGGGGTGTCTGGGTCCACACAGGTGTTTGTGCAGAGTGTTAGATGGGGGCGGGGTATCTGGGTCGACACAGGTGTTTGTGCAGAGTGTTAGATGGGGTGTCTGGGTCCACACAGGTGTTTGTGCAGAGTGTTAGATGGGGTGTCTGGGTGACACAAATGTTTCTGTGCTGTGCTCGCTGTCTGCAGGACGCTGTAGAGAGTAATAAGGAACACAGTGACCTGGGAAACAGAAGGGACCCTGAGTTCTCTGCCCTGGTGCCCTTTGAATAGCTTGCTTTGTGACTCAGAATCCTGTGTGCTCTCTTCCTCATTTCTTTCTTCCTCACATGGAACCTCAGTGTAACAGGAAGTGGAGCTGGGATTCCCTGTGGCCTGGAAACATTTCTTGATCTGTCTCAGTAGATTGTCATTCATTACCAAGAATGTATTTGGTGCTCGTTCAGTGAGTGATAGGAATGGGGTTAATTGGCACAGGAGTGAAGAGAGATGTCGGGAATTGCTGTCTTGTCTTGTCATCTTGACTGTCACTTTAGATCACTCAGTATAGATGAGATGCTCAATCTTAGGGAGTATAAATCTAAATGCTGACTTGCAAGCCACATAAAGAAAGTTCGTGTGGTCACCAGAAAGGGCAGGAAACATGAGACTGCTTTCATAATTAAATGTAAAAAGCCTGTCTCCCAACAGTGAAATATTTAAGTGTTATATTTTTGTGACGTCATTAATCTTAGGTTTTGTTTTATTATTATTTTTCTCTTTTAACATGATTTGATTTGAACCAGGTGCAGCGATTGCTGGGGTTTACCGAGCTGCAGGGAAGGAGATGATCCCCTTCGAAGCCCTCACACTGGGCACTGGACAGACGTTCTGTGTAGTGGTGGTCTCTTTTTTACGGATTCTAGCTACTCTATAGCAGTAGTCCTTTCACTGTGATGTCACACCTGTGTTTTATACTCCTCAAAAGGAAGAGACGGTGTCATGGTTTCTTCATTCCTCAAATGGAAGCAACTTGGGGGCACAAGAATGGGAAGACCATCACAGCTCTTTCTTCATTTGAAGGCTCCAGCAATTGAAGACCCTTGTAGACAGCTCTCGTTCTCAGCCAACCCGAGCTCCCTGGCTTTTTTTCTTGTGGCCACTTAAGTTTTACATGCACATCTTCATCCAAGCCAACAATGCCTCAAGTCTGCATCTTTCCAACAAGAATGTGCATCATTATTTGCAAAAATGCAACATTGCTGTTCCACAGAAACAGTGGACAATGCTGTTTAATTTGAAGGGAACAGGCTGTGCTGTACTAAAACCTTATCGTCATGAGAGTAAAGCTGAGTTTGCTGGTGGACTCTAACAGGAAGAAGAACTGAAGTATAATTCAAAATAACAGCTCCGGTTCCACTGTCAAAAGTAGGTGACTGCTGTGAATGTGACATTTTATGGATAACTATCCTGACCTCTGATTATTTAATATATATTAAGAGATGATGTGAATTTATCATTTGATCAAAATAAGCTAGCTAATTGAGATGTCTTTTCTGTTCTTTTTTTTTTTTTTTCTTTTTTAAGACATGAGATCTTGCTTTGTTACCCAGGCTGACCCAAACTCCTGGGCTCAAGTGATCCTCCTGCCTCAGCCTCCTGAGTAGCTGGGACTCTAGGCATCACCATCATGCCTAATTGAGACTCTTTTTCCAAAGAATATCCATGATACCTTTACCTATCTATCACCTTTAATGCTATCTATTTGATTTACTTTCTCTGGAAACACACAGACTTTTTGTTTGTTTGTTTGTTTGTTTGTTTTGTTTTTTTGAGACAGGGTTTCTCTGTATTGTTTTGGAGACTGTCCTGGAACTGGCTCTGTAGACCAGGCTGGCCTCGAACTCACAGAGATCCACCTGCCTCTGCCTCCCGAGTGCTGGGATTAAAGGCGTGCGCCACCAACACCCAGCTTACACAGACTTTCTTAAGTAACTTGAGTTGAACTTCAAAACCGGATAGGATATTCTTTGGACATTCAGGCACAAATAAGACACTTGCAGGATTGTTACAATTTTTCTTGCTGATTTTAGTTTATTTGATGACTCCAGAACTTGTAGGGAGCTTCTGAAATAAGTTAGTGGTTATTGGTTTCCTTCTGTGTTTACCTATCAGTGGCTATTCAGCCCACTTTGCAGTATTTGAGTATCAACTCCAAGAAAGTGCCTACAGTTTTCTTTTCATATACAACCCCTCTGGTCTTTTTATTTTTATTCAAGAGAATTTATATCCTGAAAAAGACATAGTTTTTAACTTAATTTTAGCTATTTTAATTTTTAACTTGACTGCCTAACTTTGGTTTTCACTAGAAAGGCTGCAAACTGTGACCTTCAGAAGGGAAGGGTGTAGAAAGGGTTGTGCCTTCTGTCATTCTAACGGTTTTTTATAAAGTACAATGTTCTTGTTGTTACCTGTTTTCATAGCTTCTGGCAATTAACGCTGACATTTCTAAAGGACAATTTTCATTATGAGATTAAGGCTGACAACCTGTGAGTACATACATTTATCTTCAAGCAATATGCTTTCGGTTTCTGGTTAAAAATAGCCAGGAGGAGCCAGCAAGATGGTTCAGCAGGTAAAGGTACTGCCCTCTGACCTGAGTTCGATTCTTGGGACCCACATGTTGGAAGGAGAGAACCGGCTCCTGCAAGTTATCCTCTGACAGCCACGTTTGTTCATATGTACAAATAAGTAAATAAATAATGTAACTTTAAAATCCCTTTAAGTTGACAAGTGGTTACCCATACTTAATGTGCACATGCTCCCTTCCCCCTACACTTAATTTTTTTTTTTTGTTTTTGTTTTGGTCTTTGCGAGACAGGGTTTCTCTGTATTGTTTTGGAGGCCGTCGGTCCAGCCTGGCCTCGAACTCACAGAGATCCGCCTGCCTCTGCCTCCCGAGTGCTGGGATTAAAGGCGTGTGCCACCACCGCCCGGCCCCCACACTTAATTTTTAAATTGAGATAAAATAGCCAAGAGGGTCACTTTGCCCAGGAAAGGCAGGGGGCGGGGAATTACAGGGGTGGCCACAGAAATAATTGGCTCTTTCTTTTTGCCTACCACCTGTTAAAACTGTAGTGACAATTAAAATTGGTAGGCAATTAAAGTGCAGATAAATGGCCCTTAATATTCCTCAGAAAAAAAAGAGCAAATCTTTCTTCCAACAAAGGATTTTGATTTTTTGTTGTTGCTTTTTTTTTTTGTTGTTGTTGTTGTTTTGTTTTTGTTTTCCCAGGACAGGGTTTCTGTGTAGCCTTGGAGCCTGTCCTGGGACTCACTTTGTAGACCAGGCTGGCCTCGAACTCACAGAGATCTGTCTGGGATTAAAGGTGTGTACCACTACCGTCAGGCAAGATTTACATTTTCAGTCTCAGGGACTGTGAATGTGGAAAACATCGTTTCAGATGGAGAAACTGGAATGTTGTACCCTGCATTCTGGGAGATGGCAGCATCGTCTATGGAAGGATCTACTGAAGGACGCCTTAGAGTGCTTACTAAACATTTGATGGTGGACTTTTCCCCCTAATTAATAACTTCTGGACATATTCATCCACAACTAAAATGTTAGATTATTTGTATTTATAACCAAGAAACAAAAGTTAGGGTGTTTTTGTTTCCATCTGTTTCTTATGTTTATATGTTCTTTAAAAACAAAAACAAAAGCTTGAACTGTAAAAAGTATCTTCAAATTACTGAGTGTTTCATCTATCCCAATGCATATGAAGCATTCTTTTGTGAATAAATGTTTATATACTCCACAGACTGAGTGCTTTCAGGAAGAAACCAGTTGAGTGTTAAACAAAGAATACTTTCCACTTTGATCCCTGTTTGTCTTCTTACCCTTGTCTCTTGTCTAAAATGCAGATTTATTTGCCATGATTTGTGTTCAACACATCACCTTACACAATTTCTTCAGTAGTTTTCTCCCTGTAAGGACTTTCTTGGACGCTGATTCCTGCATTTATATTTCTACTTCTCGCCCCCTCACTTTAAATTCTGAGATAGGGAGGCAACCCCCAACCAAAAAGCTGACCTCTTGATTCCTTAGTGAATTTTGGGGTACAGATTAAGTTCATGTACAAAGGTGCAGTGATGAGTATGTGAGCAAGCTGTGTCTCTGGGCTGCTAGCTTCCTTTGGAGCAAGATACTCCTTAGGACTCACTTCTGGGCGTAGTGACAAGTGGCTCGGCAAATGCTGGCATCCTTCCTGTGGCCATTAGGTTATTAGATTGTGTGTTAGCTTTTGATTCCAATGTCCTTCTGACTGCCCTAGTAAGTCCTTGTGACACTGTGGGACACGCCAAACTTCCCTAAGGAACTGTTTCCTGGAATGTGAAGCCCTGGTGCCATTAGTGGTCCGTGTGCAGGAGGTTTTGTGAAGTTGTATTCCTTTCTTGTATACTATGTAAGGCTGGTTATGACCAAAATCAGCTCAACTTTTTATATTAGGTTATTGCACTTAACTGCTATAGTCCAAGTGATCAAATCTTTGTACATTAGAAACATATTTAAAATTTATTTTTCTACTGACATTTCTAATGCTAGTATAAATGTTTGTCAATAAAGAATTACTTTAAATGCTTTGAGTTGGGATTGCATTATTTGCTTGTTTGTTTTTAGATTTTTATCTGAGGCAATGTTTTGCTATATCCTTGTCTGGCCTCCAGCTCTTCATGAAGCCCAGGCTGGCCTTGAACTTGTGGCACTCTTCCTGTTTCTGCCTCCCAAGTGCTGGGATTATAGGTGTGCCACCACACTGGCTCTGGAATTGCTTTTTTAAAAACGTTGGTGGCGCACGCCTTTAATCCCAGCACTCGGGAGGCAGAGGCAGGCGGATCTCTGTGAGTTCGAGACCAGCCTGGACTACCAAGCAAGTTCCAGGACAGCCTCCAAAGCCACAGAAAAACCCTGTCTCGAAAAACCAAAAAAAAAAAAAAAAAAAAAAAACTCCCCCCCATTTATTGTTTAAGGCTCAAAACTTGTTTAAGGCTGACCTCAAACTCAAATCTGCTGGCCCCGGCCTCCCAAGTGCTGCAACTAAAGGCATGTGCCACCATGCCTGGATCCCGCCCCCATTTTTGATTTATTTATTGGTGGGAGCAAGGGCATGTGCTTGTCATGGTGTATCAGCAGAGGTTAGAGCACAGCTTTCAGGGGGCAGCTTTTGCCTGCAACCATGTGGGTCCTTGGGATCAACTCCAGTCAGGCTTGGTAACAGAGGCTGCTTGCCAGGTCTGGGAATTACATTTATCATGTAATATCTTTAAATTGTATATGTTTTAGCTGTATTTCTCTTATGTTCACCTTAATTTTTTGTTTGTTTGTTTTGAGACAGGATTTCTCAGTGTAGCCCTGGCTATCTTGGAACTCACTCTGTAAACCAGACTGGACTCTGCCTGCCTCTGCCTCCCCACTGCTGGAATTAGAGGTGTGTGCCACCACCACTTGGCTTATGTTCAACTTTATAATAGTTTATAATAAAATTCTTTTTCAAAGATGTGGTTAAACTTCTTAAAGTGAACTTCACTCATTAACTTTACTGATCAAGCCATATATTCATGTCAAGAAGCTTTGTATGGAGTCTAGAAAGATGACTCAGTGGGTAAGGCATTTGCCATACAAGCATGAAGATCACAGTTCAGATCCCCAACACTCACAGAAAAAGCTAAGTAGGCATGAGGATCTGCCTACTCTGCCTACTCTTAATTTTGACACTCTGGAGGGAGAGACTGGATCCCTGAAGGTTCATTAAGAGAGTCTGCCTCAGTAAATAAAATCTAGCATGAGGAAGACTGTTGGGGAAGTCCTGTGTATATGTCAATAAAGCTCTGTTGGCCAATAGGGAAGCAAGATAGGTGGGACTAGGAGTCCAGGAGGACTCTGGGTAGGAGAAACACAGGGAGTCATGATGTAGCCTGCCAGAGAAATAAGATGTCTGGAACTTTGCTCCGGTAAGAGAAATACTTAGATTAACAATTATGGGGTAGCCGGGCGTTGGTGGCGCACGCCTTTAATCCCAGCACTCGGGAGGCAGAGGCAGGTGGATCTCTGTGAGTTCGAGGCCAGCCTGGACTACCAAGCGAGTTCCAGGACAGCCTCCAAAGCCACAGAGAAACCCTGTCTCGAAAAACCAAAAAAAAAAAAAAAAAAAAAAACAATTATGGGGTAAATACTTAAGTCAGAGCTAGCCAGTAAGAAACAAGCAAGGCCTACAGCTTCATAATTAATACAGTGTCTTGTGTGTTATTTGGGGACTACAACTCGGCAGAGCCCAGGAGACTAACGGGGGATAAACCAAAGCTGCTGGCAAGGAAAAGGCTTCTCTTTACAGAAGACACCTAATGTCAACCTCTGCTTTCCACGGGAACATCTGTCCAAACCCATGTGAACATCTGTCCAAACCCATGTGAACATATATGTACACCATACATGTGGGAAAAAACTTTTGTGTGCTGTTATACTAGGATAGCTGAGTAGTGTGCAAATAATTTATTATTTCAATGGCCCACTGGAAGAGAAACTCTAGATTTCCATAATGTCCTCAAGTGACTGATATGCCTTTATTCTATTTTCAGCAAGTTGAGTCACTCAGTTTCAGGTAGTTTACCATCCATTCTATGTTTTAAGTTTTTGTTTGCTTGTTTTGTTTTGTTTTTAGACAGGGTTCCATTATTTTCTCTGGCTATCTTGGAACTTTCTATGTAGACCAAGATGGCCTTAAGTTTACAGACATGTGTCTGCCTCTGCTTCTGCCTCTGCCTCTCTCTCTCTCTCTCTCTGCCTCTCTCTCTCTCTCAAAGTTTTTTTTTTTTTTTTTTGGTTTTTTTGAGACAGGGTTTCTCTGTAGCTTTGGAGGCTGTCCTGGAACTCACTTTGTAGACCAGGCTGGGCTCGAACTCACAGTGATCCGCCTGCCTCTGCCTCCCCAGTGCTGGGATTAAAGGCGTGTGCCACCAACGCCCACCCGGCCTCTCTTAAAGGTTTATTTATTTATTATATATACAGTGGTCTGCCTGCACACCAGAAGAAGGTACCAGATCTTATTATAGGTGGTTGTGAGCCACCATATGGTTGCTGGGAATTGAACTCAGGACCTCTGGAGGAACAGCCAGTGCTCTTAACCTCTGAGCCATCTCTCAAGGCTCCCCACGCACACTTTTTTTTTGGTTTTTAGAGACAGGGTTTCTTTGGCTGTCCTGGAACTCATAAATCACTTTGTAGACCAGGCTGGCCTTGAACTCACAGAGATCTGCCTGACTCTGTCTCCTGCCTCCTGAGTGCTGCTGGGATTAAAGACATGCATTACCACTGCTCAGCAAAATGATCATCTGGTGTTTCTTTTTATTTTAATTTTTATCTTACTGGTGTTTTGCCTATAGGCATGTCTGTGTGAGGGTGCTGGATCCTGAGCTGCTATGTGGGCATTGGGAATTAAACCAGGGTCCTCTGGAAAAGCAGACAGTGTTCTTAACCACTGAGACATCTCTCCAGCGCCCCTTCCCCCTTTCAAGTGCTGGAATTCTAGGCACTCCACACACGGCTATAATTTTTTTAAGCATACAGTAAGTACACAGATCTTGGCTGTACAGCTTGGTAAATTTTTGCATATGTGTGTATTTATGTGACTACCAGTCAGATCAAGGGACATATTTCTGCTATCCTGGAGGGATACAGAGTTATCAGGTGTGGACAGGCAGGGTTCAGCCAGAAGTCCCCATGAATTGTATGGACCTGAGACATAATGAAAGGAACTTTCAGTTTTCCTTAAAGTGACAAGCCAAGCTTGAAGTGGAGACTGGAAGATGAGGAACCGAAGGTGCTGAGTTTGGTAGAGATGATCCTTTAAATCACTGCCAAGACAACGGTGAACCAAGTCTCCAGCACCCACACTCACAAATGCTAGGCAGGCATGGAGGCCCCTTTGTAAGCCCTAGTGCTCAGGAGGCGGAGGCAGGGGATTCCTAGGATAGGGTGGCTAGCTCTGGGTTCAAGAAAGAGAGAGACCCTGTCTAAAATAAGGTAGGGTGTGACTGAGGAAGACATCCGATACCAGCCTCTAGTTCCCACATGTGCAGGAGTGCAAACGCGAACACACACGGCGCACATACACTTGTGTGCACATGTGGACATGCATACATCCCATGCAGGTAGCCCTCCTTAGATAAATAGCTAGGTGTGGTGACTCAGGCCAGTGATCTCGGTGCTTAGAGCCTGAGGCAAGAGCGTTGTCACCACACTCTTGTGTGAGGGTGAGTTTAGGTCATTCTGGCCTCAGAGACCCTTTTCCAAAAAAATGGAGAAAGAGAATCTCATAACTACATACCACTATGCAATAGTTCTCAAACTGGTTGGGAATGTTAGTTGGGAATCTGATCTTCATTCAGTGTTAGGAGAAATTGGGGAGGATTGCTGTGAATACCAACATATTTTTGGAGACTCTCCTCCATGATGAGGTAGCTACACTATTGATTACAGGGAGTGTTTATAATATCCAAGGATAATAAAGTCAAGAATAGTGAAATTCAAAAGATTATGTCTAAGCGTTTCTATTTTTCTATTATTTTCAGGTAAGAAAAGTCTGTTTTAGGGCCAGCAAGATGTCTCAGTGTGCAAGGACACTTGCCACCAAGCCTGGCGAACTGAGTCTAATCCCTGGGACCTGCAAGGTGGAAGGAAAGAACAGAGCCCCGCAGAGTGCCCTCTGATCCCTGCATGTTCATGCAAGCACATGCAAGAGGGCACACACAAGCCGGGCGTTGGTGGCACACGCCTTTAATCCCAGCACTTGGGAGGCAGAGGCAGGCGGATCTCTGTGAGTTCGAGACCAGCCTGGACTACCAAGCAAGTTCCAGGACAGCCTCCAAAGCCACAGAGAAACCCTGTCTCAAAAAACCAAAAAAAAAAAAAAAAAAAAAAAAAAAAAGAGGGCACACACACCAAATAAAGAGCTGAAAAGTCTGTTTCAAGGAATCATAGACCTAAACGTAAGCACTAAAACTCTCCAGTCTTAGAAGGATACGGAAGTAAGAGTCATGATCTTGGCTTAGGCAGTTTTCTTAGGTAGAATACCGAAAGCATACAAGGAGGACACAATAATAGATAGACTAGACTTCATCGACACTAAACATTCCTGTTCAAAAGGAATTACCTGAGTGGTTTTGCTCCCTCTCACCGGTGGCTTGGGGGTGGGGGTGGGTGAGGGAGAAAAAGTCATGACAAGTTTCCATGGAAGCAGACTCTGGAGACCAGCATCAAGGTGCAGATGTGGTTTAATTTGTATGTTCACTGGCATATATGCATACATTACCCAGTCAATTACGGTCATATTATCAAGTTGCTGTCAAATCCGTCTAAAGAACACACAACCCCTGTCATGTGAGGATGGGGGGGAACCTCAGTATGTCCAGGCAGTGTGTCTGTAGACAAGGGCAGGAAGCAGGCAACGCCCTGGGTTTTGGCGCCAAATTAGAGGGTCTGCAGTTAGCTGGGACTTCATTATGAGTCATCTGGTGTTCCAGAGACCCAGGTCTGCTCAAACAGCTGCAGGAGGTGTTGACTCTTCCCTGTCTTTTAGTGAC